TATTGTTTGTGGCCTGAAATAAAAGTGTGGTATCTTTTAAGATGGTAGCTGAGGCTGGATTACCAACTTGGCTGCGGGGACAACTGTCCCATGATCTGTGTGGTAATTACTTTGTGGCGATTTGATTAATTACAAATTTGTTTGTTAATGTGCCGCTAAAGCACAATTAAAACTGGGCCACAAGGTGGCAACTGCATTTTTACCCAACTCGAGGCTTTGCCTTATAAAGGGCCCCTGTGTAAGAATTTAGTTTTAATATCTCTAATATTGCAGTTGATTATATTTACTTGGTGCATAATCATTACCAATTTGTATTTAATCAACAGTAGAAATACTGGTTGGCTCCTGTGACTCTGGGCGAAATGGCTTGGTAGAAAGCGTGTTTTTTGGGGGGGGGGCTCAAAATGGGACCATATTTTATTTCCCAGGGCCCCTCTCAGCACGTTTATCTAGCCCTGATGTTAGCATGTGACATTTTCTAAAATATTTAGATTTTAGACATTTCCACTTTCTCCTAAACTTTTCAAATAATGGTAAGGAAAACAGTTTTGGCAGCTTCTTACTACCTGTCATAAATTCTGTAAACAGCCTTGCTCTCAATAATTTGAGAGCTATTAGTGTGTCTGAGAGAGGGATAATCATCTGTCTCTGTCACATTCACCACAATGTTAACAACAAGGCAATCAAACTCTGCAGACTCCTGTCTGGTGTTTAATCGTGCTGCTGTGTTGCCGCAGTTACTCACCATGACAATGCTGTGCCTTTTTTTTCCTTTTTTTTTTTTTTTGCCGTGACATCATCTTGCCACCCACTGTCGGGTAGGAATAGCTGCAGTAGCCTGTGGAGGCAAAATGCAAAGCCATTGTAACTAGTTAATCAGTGGTATATAGCCCCCAGTCATGCCACCGAAAGTGGTGAGTTAACATAATCTGTAAGTATTGTTGACCCTGGCAACCAGCCATGGCATAACCTTGGTCATTAGCAAAGCTCCTGTCTTTCACACAACCACACACACATGCACAATAGCATCCGCTGTCACCTCTGATATAGATGACCCCTGACAGGAGAGGAGCTCAGCAAGACAGCCTGTCAGCAGCTCTGCAATGTGTCTGGCTTGTCTGCCTTCATCGGATGGCCAGCATGTGCCTCAGGTCTCTCCTGCCCATCCATATCCACACCAATTTAAAGCCTGGCTGCCAGCAGAATGATATTCTCATGTGACACTTCCTTTTTTTTTTCTTCGGGTCAGCAATTCTCAATTACCATGTTACATTCCTATGAACTCCCCTGTGGCTATTGTGCAATAATGTACAGCCACATTGGGATCAACAGTGCCTGCCGTAGCTTCAGTAGTCTTCCAAGAAATACAGAATGTTATAACAATTCCTGTATTCTAATAATAATAAAACATACATCTTTCTTTGTATTTCCACCACAGTATAAGGCTCATATGGAAGAAAGATCTTTCACCCCCTCTGCTGGGTGTGTGTGTGTGTGTGTCTAATTCGGTTGAGTGTGTTGTCTCTGCGGCTTTTAACAACAAAGCAGCTCTGTTTTCTGATGAATGATCATCCCCGCCAAGTTTTTATTGCTTTCCGTAGATTACATCAGCTTGTAGTAAATCGCTTTTGCCAGGGAAATTTGTGATCCTAATAAAAATACTTCAAACCATATCTTAATACTATATAACAATAGTTTTGAGCTGTTGTCTGCAAAGTTGATTCTTCACACAGCTGTCATCAGCATTTTTCATTCATGAATTATAGGCAGAAAGGAATGGATAGAGATGTACTTACAGCAATAAGATGATAGGATTGGAGAAATTTGAATTTTTAGCAATTTTAATAACAAAGACGCAAAGAAAAGGCAGAGATCTGAACTCTGTGTTCTTTTTGCTGTAGAAATTAGCACACGAAGCTCAACTGATGATTATAAAGGAATTAGGAGCGAAGCTGCCTGTAGGATCACAGGAGATGCGGCCATTGTTCGATACATGTGAAAAGGCTGTGAGCTCATACATGTAGCACCAAGCATGACAGCTTCATTGTATTCACTGTTTATTCACAGCAAGTAAATTCAACCTAGGTGGCAGCAACAGCCTTGAAGAAAAGAGCTTTCTATAGACTTTCTATAGATAGACTATGAAGATAGAGTGTGAACGCTCTTGTGAACACACCCTCGTCTGTTGGTGTTGACAGATGCACAGTTCTAGCTGAGGTTAGTTGGAGGGCTCCCATTAGGAGGAACGTAGGCATGAAGGTTTGGAAGCTTCGATATCCCAGCTGTAGTCTTGAGAGAGAAATAAATAGGGACCTTTCTTCCCACACAAGCATGCATACGTCAACATGTGAACAGGTTTTTTAGGTGATATCCATCTAAACTTTTTTTCACAATTGAGTAATATTAATATTCGAACCCCCTATGTCTAGGATTCCAAGTTATTTAATATTGACGACTCCTAGCGGTAGCAGAGCACATTAGCATACACCGCTACACATCCCACCAAGATTGTATTCTTTGAGAAATATATACGCCACCAGAACCCTTTAAAAGATTGCAGGATCAATCAATTAAGCAGGTAACAACAACATGCAAAACAAAACAATGTAATGTAAAGTGTTCACACGGTCCACTAATTGTGTTGGGACTGTTTATCTGGAGCAATAAACTATTCGCTCCCCATTCTGTAATGTTGCGAAATCCCAGCCAAACACTTAAACCAGTGACGGAACTGGAAACCATTTTGTCTTGAGTGAAATCAGGAAGTCATTAACAAACTGATGCATTACTACAGAGCCATAATGGCAGGCGGGCTGATGCAGATACATCAGCCTGCCAGAATGGAGGGCATCGGTCGATAACACCTCCTCAAAGTGTCTTCCTGGCAAGCACTGTGGCCTTTAATGAAACCCGCGAACAGACGAAGAGAGGCGTATGGCAGCAGGGTCTTACACTAGCCGCCCTCACCCCTGTGGTGGAAATCCCATTATCATTAAGAGTCTGAAGTAATGTGAAGGAGGCTTTGTGCTGCTGACCAAGCTAGAATAAGTGTATTAACCGACAGTTTCTCAGCTGTCAGGGGTCTCGGTTTTGGGCCCCTGCTAATGTAATGTTAATAAAAACAAAATAGTGGGCTGCAGGACCCCTGAGAGCAGCCTTCATGTGTCTCCCGTACTCCTACAAACTGAGGCAGTGCACTGTAATATACTGTGCACCTGCCTGCATCAGCAGAAAACACATGTGGTGATATGAACAGTTATGGTTGTGCTGCCGGGGTTATTGCACTTGGTTTATTTAATGATGCTATCAATGGCTGGGTGAAAAGAGGTCCATGCTGGAATAAATCACATAGACCTGGTCTCTGCCCAGACACTACAAGGACTCGACTCACACAGAGTTCACATGTTGGCAGACATAATAAACACTGACAGTCTCATCTCTTTCTCTTCCTGTCTCTCATTAACACACAAATACACAGATGTTGGCTGTTTTTCACTAAACTGCAGTATGTGTTGTGCGCCCTTTCTCATGAGGAAAATTATTAGCCAGCTGTTCAATCCCCAGCTGCAGAGACTGTTCCATGTGTGGTGGATGCTTAAACACACAAACACATACATACACACACACACTGTGGATACATGGCTGAGATAGAGTAGGTTTGTGCCCTGCAGGTTACAGACCACAGTGAGAGGCCAGGGGAGGTTTCCGACACTCTTAACAGTCTGGTGTTAATCAATTAGCGGATGACTGACTGAGCTGCAGGCCAGCAGTGAACTGCCATTAAACCCAGAGAAGCAGACAGACAGGTACATAGGTAGACAGCTGAAGAGGACAGTAACTATTGGCAGGTATTGCTGCATTGTCAAGCTGGCATTGATACAGGAATGTTTTTGTGTATGTGTGTGTGTGTTAGGAGTTTTTTCTTTTACATGTCTGCGTCTCTATTTGGTCCCGCGTTCCCTCCTTGGAAGGGTGTTAGAAGCACATTTGCAAGAGTACTGTATGCATGTATGCATGCGTTGCTCTGCATGCATTTTAGGCAGGCAGGCCAGATGATCCATATTGTCAGGGTCAGGTCCCTCTTGGCTCAGCTAACCTCAACCTCTTAACACATAACATCTGCTGGGGTCAGCAGCCAGCACAGGGATGGCTCATCATCAGCTAGATGCTGGTGTTCATGTTCCAGCTAACTACTGGCAGGAGAGGAGGTTTGTCTGTGTGTGTATCCAAGCAAGTCCAGCTCCAGCTCTCTATATCACTCCATTTCATTTTAGACCTTGAGTTGCCTTGGGCAAACATGCAGTGGAGACTTTGGTTACACATTATGTATTGATCAGTCCATGACTTAACAGTTTGTTTAACCCATTCATATACCCCATCCATTCAAATGGACATTACTTTCTAGTCACCTAACTCTAACCAAATGCACAAACGTATTTGATTGGATGTCAATAAGCCAATCACAGTGTCCCAAATCATCCAAAGTGGACTTCAATAGAGCCACAACCCCTTAGGAGGAGGAAGCATAAGGCATATTTTAATATACTAATCATGTGGTTAAAGTACATAATTTGTGTTTGAACTGCGTTTAAAATAAACAAGATGTTATATTACTTATACATTTATACATTTTAGAGGAAAAATCTACCACTGCATTATTTATTCTTGTGTGTTTGAAACAACTGGGTTCTGAATGGGTTAATCTACACCTGGTGTTTCTGTGCTGACAACTTTCTTTGATCATAGTAAGATCATGTAATAGGATTTAATAAAGTAGGTATGCTGTCCACCTCCTATAGTACTTTCTCAGTGCACTACATGTTATATTATGAGCTTCATAGTATGGACTGTAAAAATCGATTGCCAAGACTAATCACTTTTTATTTTTTACACGTACGTTATAAAGTAAATTCACTCCTGCATATAAACTTTATACGTTCATACATACATTCTACAATGTCCTCACTTTTTCTTTTCTCCTGTTATTTATCTCTCTCCAGGAGACTATGTGGTGCTGACCGTCTTCTTTGACCTGAGCAGGAGAATGGGCTACTTCACCATTCAGACCTACATCCCATGCACCCTGATTGTTGTCCTCTCCTGGGTCTCATTCTGGATCAACAAGGATGCGGTACCTGCCAGGACATCATTGGGTAAAAACAAAACTAAAAGTTATTTCTGCCACAAGATTGTGATCATTTGTTAGACATGTTGATGTCAATTAAAAAAGATGAAAACCAGTTAGCAGAAACAATTAAAATGTCTTTAATTAAACTGTTCTGTTTCTTTTTATTCCATATCCCTCTCTTCTGTAACTGCTCATCAAGCCTTGACAGACCCTTTGCTTTAGCTCATTCTTATAGTCAGTCCAACTAGCCCAAACACACATATGCTGCACTTTATACCCGTAAGGTTCATTAACCATCCTGGCTGAAACACCCTGTAGTCGTCACACACCGCCTCATAAGGAAAGCAGTCCGCTTCCTCCTTCGTGGCATTCTATCCTTTCCTTTTGTTTTCTCCTTCACCATCCTTCCTCCTCCTCTTTCTCCCTCTGAGATAGGGCAGCTGCTTAAGGAATCTAGTCCATCTTGATTAGAAGAGCCTTTCCTGGCACATATGTTTTCATGCATGCCTTAATGAGACATTAATTATGCACTACAGCAGGGGAAGATGCAGAGATGCAGCCTCAGCACAATAATAATAAGGCAGGTGGCCTCTTCACTGCATGTAATAAAGTGACACGGAATGGAAAAAAAAGGGCAAACGTGAGGATTTCAAGGAAATTTGAACTTGCCCTTGGTATCCATTGGACATCCTCAAAAGTTCACTTGTGATGCAGTTACGCACAAATACCTTAGTCAGCGTTCCTTTTGGCCCCTTAAGGCTCTAAATCCTGACCTTAAGTCCATGTGATGTGATCATTAGTGAGCATAACTGAATGTAAAACAATCCCCGCAGGCAGAAAACCCTCATTCTACCTCACTATCGTCATTACTTTGTCCATCATTAATCTCTCTAAAAATAGGTTGTTTGGTTTTCTCCTGCTCCTGCAGTTCCAGACATGATTTGCAGTTGAAATAATAACACTATTAATTCCCAACTAAAATTGTACCAAGAGTCAAATGTCTTAATTTCCTTTGAAAGATGATGCAGGAGGTAGAGGAAGCCAGGTGGTTAGGAAGCGGATTAATGCAGATGACATAATTCTTAATCCTTCAATGCCATCCAGAAATATATCAATTCACTCACAATACTGCAACGCTAATCTTGACGCAGACTGAATGTCTTTCAGTCCACATTAAATTTAGACATAAATCATCTCCTATACAAGGCCCTTGCATGTATGCTGTATTTAAAGGAGGGAGGCGGTCTTGTTAGTTGCTTGTTTGTTGGTACTAGGGAGTTGTGACGCTGCTGTTGTTAATCCGTGTACTTATAAATGGATTTCCCTGTCATATGCCATCACCCCGCCTCCATCTACATCATCGTCAGAGGCGGATAGAGTGAGGAAACAGGGAGGAGGGGTTGCCAGATAAAGAATGTAGTGCCATCCACCCCGCCTCCCATCTACCATCATCGTCAGAGGCGGATAGAGTGGAAGGAAACAGGGAGAGGGTTGCCAGATAAAGGAATGTAGTATGTCAGTGTGGTGGTCAATGGCTGCTAAACCACTAAAGTATGTGGATCAAGAGGACAGTAAAACAGCTGTTCACCCTTCCCTCATAGGCGCCTAACTGTTAAGAGCTTGCAATTAAACAACCAAAAGTAATCCTCTTTTATTTATATATACACAGCTTAATATTTATGCACTACATTGTTGGTCAAAAAGAGCTGCTTGAAATCATTTTCGGTCCGTCTGTCACACCTTCCATCACACGGAGCTTCAGATGTGAAACTCAGTTTTATTAAATCTCCAGTGATTTATTTCTTTTGGGTTATTTTTTCCTAGGCAGTAAAATGTGTTTCTGAAGTGAAACATTTACCTCCTACGCTAAAACATTTAAAAGCATATGTGTTCCCATGTTGAAAAATGTATAAGCACTTGGCTATATGAGTTAAAACATGTATTAACAAATGGGAAAAGTGGTGCACACGTCAGTAAAAATGATTTCCAAAGTTTGACTCTCCACCTCGTTCAGTTTCCCTCAGACTGTGAAAGTATTTTAGGGGGAATATTCTGTTAGTAAAACAATCAGTTTCATTGTATGTAAAAAGTGTTTTTGTTGCACTTTCAGTGCCGTGTTGACTTTGGTCGTGTCGGATCTCTACCGCACTCTCCTCCGAGCAGAGGTAGCCCCGCCTGCGGTGAAACACTGCACCGGGCGGAGCTGCCTCTGTTCTCACTCACACAGAGTTGAGCAGAGTGAAGGAAAAGAGACAGCGGAGAGAGCTGACGATGGTTGCAACATGCATGAAAGCTGCATGAGTAAAAACAGCTACATCACAATAAAAAAGCTTGGATCAGTTAATAAAGCTCAACATAGGTATATCAGTGAAAAAATGCCTTGATGGGCTCTAATACCAATAGTTGAGATCGAATTGGGATATCCGTTATAAAAACAAAATTATTATTATTCATCATTATTATTGAAAATGTTATTCCATTTTTAGATCACATAAGAATGCAATGTGAAATGACACATACCACTGAGCTGAAAAGAGTATAATTGAACTTACATCATTTTCTCTGTTCTCTCCGATCTCTCACCAGGCATCACAACTGTGCTGACCATGACCACGCTGAGTACTATTGCCAGAAAATCCCTTCCAAAAGTTTCCTATGTGACTGCCATGGACCTGTTTGTCTCTGTCTGCTTTATCTTCGTCTTTGCTGCACTTATAGAATATGGCACACTGCACTACTTTGTCAGCAACAGGAAGCCGAGTGCCAAAAAGGACAAGAAGAAGAAAAACCCGGTGAGCGTCTTTTGAAGTGAACTTGGTTTTCTGTTTGTTTGTTTTATTATGACAGGTTTTTATATTTCCTGAAGTTTCTGTTTTTGGCCAAGAAAGGATGCACAACTGTAGCTACAAACAACAGTGTTTCAATTTGCGTATTATATATTTGTTGAATATCTTTACAGTTTTTACAATATCCTTTCTTTAGGTGAAAGGTCAAGTTCTCCCAACATGCTCTTTGTCCCTCCCACTCCATTACAGTACTGGGATAAGCCTTAGAAAAAGCTATACACTGCTTAGTATCCCTAAGGGAGCATCTTCCCACAGGCCAACCCGTCAAATTACTCAATGAGCGAGACGTGCAGCTGAAACCTTATTCCTAATCCGCCACACATCTGTTACAGTTGTAATTTAGAACCATGTCACATGACAGGAGAGTTGGCCTCATGCGAGTCTTAAATCCCTCCAGAGATCATGGCAGCTCGGTTGAAAGGCCATCCTCTCTCCACAAATATATAAGCACTTACGGACCCGAGTGTACTTACCTTTGACAGCTAGACTTGCATTTATTCCTAATCAGCTAGAGTTGGCCTGTAGGAATATATATATATAGGAATAACGATTTTGAGTGAAAATTTGTTCCAATTAGCAGAAAAAGTTATGTTTTTATGCTTTTTTTTCTTTGATAACTAAACCCAAGTTGCAATACTTAAAGGGTTGTACGTAGGTGACTGAAATCCATCCTTCAAGTCCTGGCTTTTTTGGGCGGAATTGGACTTGAAAGATATTAAATCTTAAACCTCTAAGTATACTGAGCTTGGGTGAACAGGAGTATTGAACTGGAACTTTGGGGGAAAGTGGGGCGCTCTAGTTTTAGCCTCTGTAACTGAGGTTTTGCACATGGTCTAAGTGTCTCGTGGGCGAATGAATGACTAATAAAGTGGAAGGTGCAATGCCAGTTTGCCATCTCAGAGGAGCTTTTCTAGGTTCTCTGCATGATTTGCCAAGTATGCAAGAAAAGGATTTTTTTGACTGAAATTCTTTTGATGTTCATGAATTGTTAAAAATGCAGAGACAATAGGAAATCAAGGAAATATAAATGAAGAACCTCAAAAGTTTCTTTTACTACTTGTAAGTTGTTCTGGTTGCAAGGGATCTACGTCTTATTAAAATGCAGAGAGATTTCCGTTTATCAGATTTCTTCCTGTTAGTGTATTGTATCAGTTTATCTTATCATTTGTTTAATTTCACATGCTGGAACTGACAAAGATGCTTGATGAAGTGCTGTGTAATACAAATGCTTCCAACTTCATGTAAAAATGTAATGATGTCTCACTCACAGGGAGTATTTGAACTCTGCATTATGGATAGTGTTTACTTATTATCTCTAGTTTTGCAATATGTATGCAATGTAATATTTTTCCAAAGGTAAAGCTGGCGTAAGAAGCATGTGAGGTACATATATCCCACCATGCATCTTCCCCTTGTGTCTGTTCGTAACATGTATGTCTCTCTACAGTATATTTCTTCTCTTTCCATTTTGAGTTAGACAGGACAGTGCTTGTAATTTTCACACATTATCTTGTGTTTCTGTTTATTTTTTCCTTTTTATTGATGTTTTTTGTTCTCTGTTTACATGTCTTCTTTGTTTTTTTGTTACTCTCTTTCAATTCCACATATTCTTTGTTTCCTGTCTGGACAAAAGCTCCTCCGGCTCTTTTCCTCAAAGGTATATTGCCTGTGTCTGACTGCATGTGTCTGATGCATTTTGGCTCTCTGAGCCCCCAGCACCTCACTGCTTTTCTGTCTGTTCTACAGCAGATACGCATCTCTATACCCCCTCTTTATCTACCTGCATTCTTACTGTACTCCTCATCATTTACTAAATAGGTATCACAGATAACATTAGAAAAGGGGCACTCTGCAGTGCACAGTGCGGAGGCAGCCAGCCAGACGTACTTATGCAGTTTTTAAAATTCAAATAAGCATCCCACACATCCCGTGTTCCAGAGGAATGTAATAGTCCAGGCCCAGTGTGGACTCATTCTGGCTCCCTCTGTCCTGTTTCACTCTTTGTTGTTGTTGTAACCACAGTGAATAAGCAGCCGCTGCAATAGCTTCCTCTTCTTTTCCCTTCTCCTGCCAGTAAATCTATACCTGTGTGTTTGTTGGGCTTCTCAACCTGACGCTTCCTACAGAGTCAGCAGAGCCTTAACAGACTGAAACAGACAACCCCTGCACTGTGTTAAGTATAATTAGAGTTGGAGGTCCATTCAGAAGATTAACACATGCTAATCTTTAAACACACAAAAAGCGGGGTGGGTGTGTGTGTGCTAGCAAAGATCTAAATTTAACCTAACACACATGTCAAGACAGGATAATCTGCATTTCCGCAGGTCCACAATATGTATATTTTTTATGTATTTATTTACAATATTTTAAGGTATATTTTAAAAGTCACATTAGTTGGATTTCCAGCCTAGACTTGAGTCTAAATGTACGGCTGAAAAATCCAACTGCAGTATTTAAACACTACCAGCAAATATTCAACTTAAGTCAGTCAGCCAAGGGATCCTCCAATAATAATCCAGAATGTTTCTGCCTTTTGTCTTCTCTAAGAGGTTGTCTACTTTCAGCCAGTTAAAGTTGCCAATGCCACTGTGTTGTTTCTTTGTTGTTGATTTCTTTTCTTTTTTATTTTGTTGTTTGTTTTTTTGCTAACACCAACACAGCACAGCCCAGCTTGACCAGGCCATGCGGCAGGATGCTGTTAATGCTCCTTCTGCTTGAGCTTCCACTACGCTTCCTCCAGTGCAACCAATCCCCTTTGAGAACTGAGTCATAACCTGTTCTGCTAATCCCCTCATTAACTCTGTCCGTTCAATGAGGACACAAAAATGCTGAAACTAACCCATATGTGTTTGTGGTTATGTATGGTTTTCAAAGGGACGGCAGGTTTCTGCACTAGTGCTGGGCAAGATGAGAAGTTATAGGGAATGAACAGTTCAATCAAGTTTAAGTATTTTAAGCTTGTTTGAGGATGCATGCTTACAGCAGATATTGTTATTTTCAAACTAAAACTGCAATGACCTATTTTATTTGCAGCAAGCATGCCTGGTGTAGGTACATCTAACTGGGGGCAAAACCTTCATGTGGCAAAAGAGAGAAAGTATTTGCTGTTTGTTGCAATTTAAAAAGAACTGATTAAAATTAAAAATTATCTCATATTGTTACCACACAGAGCATAAATATATACCGTCAAACGTATTTGGAGTACCAGTTCAGTCATTTATAGATTATTGTTCCTATGTTATAAAGACAAAACATACAGACAAACCGAAATGACAACAACTACTGGTACTTTTTGAGGGATGTCAAATTCTTAGAAGCTGAACTTGGGAGTATGCTCAACTCACTGTGTCTTTTTTAAATGATGGGCTTGACACCCTAGTTTATCAGCAAGGTCAAGGGACCTTCCATTTCTGTCATAGGGGGAGAAAGCAGTTAATCTGCCAAACAGCCAGAATTCCAATTTGTGTAAAGGTGGCATGGTATTTCAAGATAAAAGCTGATGAAAACGGTCTGTTTGAATACTAATTGTCTCCCTTTAGAATGACAGGGCCACAGACTCACTGATGTCACTGTCCTATTTTAAGAGTCTTCACAAATGAAAGGCATGTGCCCTCCAGTGGTGAGCACAGTTTGAAAAGGAGGTTTATTTTAACCCATCTAGTGTCAGAAAGAGTGGGCTGGAGAAATACTGAGCTGCGTGCTGCACATCTGCCAACACATGCTCCTCCCTAAGCATAGCTTTATGAGCATCATAAGCCAGTTACAACATATCTTATAAATGTATTTCAGAACAATTGCTTACAACATCCATGCAGGTCCAAATTATGACATTCTGTTGAGTCATTGGGCATTAAAAACATTTTAAAAACTGTTCTTAGAATAAATGATGAGTCATCTGTTTGCCACAGTGTTTTTGAAGCATTTTTAAATGCTGAATGTAAAGCAGCAGTAGCATAATTAGAATAAAAAATAGAGGGGCATTGCCCAGCACTAGCTTAATATACATAGTTGCTGTGCAAAGCAATATGGACTACTGTACTAATGATATCATGAGTGCCTCAGCTGCCAGCTATAGTCCAGCCCAAAGGTGTAATTTGCATCATGGGTTGCACGGGAATTGACCCTTTGTCTCTTTAAGCCTTACTAATTACAACCACAGGTGGTAGTTATAGGTCGATATGTATTTTCTTCACATTAAAAGGGTCCATTGGCAAGTTAAAGGTGCAAATTAAATTTTGCTGACTAATGACAGAAAATGAAGTGGGAGAAAGAAAATGGCAGCTCAAATGAGGTCCCCTGTTAGTCTTGATTATGGCCCTCTGAGGCTCTGATAGCTAACTGTGTCATTTTGTCCTGTTAAAAGCAGACACCCACGGTAGACATCCGTCCACGCTCGGCCACGGCTATTCAGATGAACAACGCCACGCACATGCAGGAGCGAGACGAGGAGTACGGTTACGAGTGTCTGGACGGGAAGGACTGCACCAGCTTCTTCTGCTGTTTCGAAGACTGTCGCTCCGGAGCCTGGCGGCACGGCAGGTTGCACATCCGCATCGCCAAGATAGACTCATATGCACGCATCTTCTTTCCCACTGCATTTGGTCTCTTCAACCTGGTCTACTGGGTCTCCTATCTCTATCTCTAGGCCTGGGTGTGCGTCCAGCCTTATCATACAGTTCATTACATTCTACATATGCTCTGTGCCAGCAAGGGACATTTTGAAGGAGGGGACCCACTGAATTACCCAATGATTTGATTTAGAGAAAAAAAAATATTTTTAGTTGCAATCTCTTTGAATTTTAGTCATTTCATTTAAAACTTTGACAGACACTGCAAATGTTGTAGCATTACATTAAAACTGGTATGAGGACGTTTGTAGATTTGTTGTGAAAACATTGATTGTGTGAGCAACAGTCTTTAGTTTTATTGTTTTTGTTTTCATGATTTGATTTTGGACGTTTTATTTTGAAATTTACTGTTAGTTTCGAATCAGTTATTTTTAGACAAATACATTCATACTTCCATCGTAAACAATTCAAATTAATAGCAATTCAGATCACAATAAAAAAACGCCTATCAGAAAAATCTAAATTACATTAACTATGTCTTATCATTTATTTCCACTTGGTTTTTTTGGGTTTTTTTCACTCAACATACTAAAACGCAAAATCTGAAGCACTTTAATAGAGCTATGTTTGACAGTGACATTAAAAATCATTTTGATTATGCTCATTTATTTTTAATTTATTTAGTGTTGGCACAATTAAACATTGCATTTTCTATGTGTGGTCAGAGAGATGATGCTGTTTATGGACAATGCTCAACTGTACAGACACTGTATATATTTTACTATTACATAGTGGTTTACATTTATTGCATGCACCTTTCAGGCCAAAAATCCACATGTTTTTTGGTCTTCTATTGTTGGCTATGGAAACTAAAAAATGAGCACTGTTGATTATCATTCAGGATTTAATTCTACTTTTTTCTATGAAAATTGGAAAAATAGGTGATAAAAATGTGCCCAGTTTATCCTTTAAGTTGAGGAATCATCTTTGCATACAGGTGGGAGGATCAGCCCAGAATTTCAGGCCAGACAACTGGTTTAATCATTTTCCTCGAAGCCATTAGCTTACTGTATAGACAACACTGACCTCTCATCCTCTCCTCCATTTGCTGTTAAAAGCGAGCATTTACATAATGACACACTGCTGTTGTATTTTGGTTATGCAAGCTTTTACAAGAGAAACTACTAAAACAAGTTAGGTGTTCATAAAAAATAAGCATTTGTTGTTTCCCCGTTACATTAGCAGAGCGATAACTGCAACTGCGGTTTGCCTTCAAACAGAGGAATTCCAACTAATCTACACTACCTACAGGCAGTAGGGCATTTTAAAATTCCTCAGAAGTTTTTTTTCTTCATTTTCTTTTTGTTTTTGGTTTTTTCTCATTAAAATTTGAATGCCGTAATGTTGTGTGACGAGAGCGGAATACACGGCGAAAACATCTGAATTGTAAATGTTGTGTATGATAACATATAACGCACATAAATTACAGCCCCTTACAGATCAATTTTGATAGACACCAGTATGCAACAAATGGAGAAAGTGCTTCAGTATAATTTGTAAACTCACAAGGAATAGGTGTAAATCACATTGTTTATGTATATAAATTATAAAAGGAAGCAAACACTTGTCAAGCCCTTGGGATTTTGTAAAAGGGTATATATTTTGTAATTTCAGCATTGTTACAGTATATCATCATACAGTATATTAGACTTATTGTATTATGCTGGACTGACCATGTAGAATACTTTGGGGTAATGGGTATTTATTTATTTATTCATTGATGGTATTTATTTATTTATTTATTGAAAGAAATTGTATTTTATGTCCATATAGCCCCTGAAAAGAAACACAGAATGCTGTCATTTATATCAAAGATACATTTTTGTTGATGTGTCAATGGAGCTTGAGCTTATTTATCTTGTGTTTTCTATGTTGTGATCGATGTACACTACTCTCACAAAGGCCTGTCAAACCGTTATATCTGTTGAATTCGTGAGTCGCAACATTACCTGTTGTGCAGCTTCTAAGTAGTAGACTTGAATATTTTCAGGGAAGAAAAAAAAAACAGTTCCCAAGCCACCAGAAGAAGAACATTTGCTTGTCTAAGTGACTATTAATTATTCCCATTTCTTTTTTCACCGCCACAAGTTTCCATTGGTCTTGATATTTGCCATCATTAATAAAGCATCAGTGATGATACTAGCATATGCATTTACCACATTATCTCATATTTCCTGAACTTCTTTCCTTTTTTGTATTCAATGGTGGTCCAGTTGTGTTCCGAAGCTGCTACTTAGTAGTCTAAACCTGTCCTCAGTGTGCACATACTCTATCTCTCACATCTTTAGGGACGTAAGTGTGTCAATAGCAATGTAGACTGGTCATCATCAGTGTTCAGTAGTTTACAGAAGTGTAAAAGAGTGATCACATCTTATAAAGTGCCAAACTGACACACATGCAATAGAGAATATCAAACTATAATATCATTTGTGAATCCACTTACACTGCTTTGTCAAAGACAAAACAGGTTATGCTAAAGGTGAGTGTTTTCTTGAAGGAAATGAATGTTGGCCATACCGATGTTCCCGCAGACATTTTGGGGGGGGTTTTGGTTTAGTTAAGTTTAGTTTTTCCTGTTTGTTTTTTTTATTTACTTTTTTATGGTACAGAACCAAAAGCATGTAGACCAGACCAATACAAAACCAGACACCTGGAAGACATTTCTGATTCAGACTGTATCTGACTTTGACTTTATTTACAAACCCATTGTATACCTGATAACCAAGCATGTCTTGTGTTTGAACAGTGGTGCAGAAAACAAACATACTTTATGGTATTTTTTTCCATGATGGTAAAAGCTTGTTTATTATATTTTTGTGCACTCTACTGTAAATGCAGAGATGTAACAGTGTATGGGAGATACTGAAGTGTGTTTATATTCAGTAGTGTGCATGTTGAGTATGTTTTAAGTCAAACAGGGATGTTTTGAACGATTGGGACTAATTCAAGCATCGTTTCATCTGGTCTCAGTCCTTTGCCTGCATTGACATGGACTTTTATTACACTGTACTTATTTTTGACGAAGTGATTTTATTTACTTTGGGACCCACAAATGAGACATGTATGTGAACAGCACATGTAGATATTTTCTATTGTTATGTATTTTGTCAAACTGCAGAAAACAAAATAATGCGCACTAGAGTTACTGAGCTCGGTAAAAGGTATCCAAGAACAAAATAAATTTCATATGATCCTCATACATACGGTATGTTAGTTGTTTGCCATTTGAGTATTGTATAAAAGGGGCACTGATCAATTCTGTTAGGGTCTGCATAATATGCTATACATGTACTGGAAAAAATCCTTTTCATAAGGGAATTGCACATAGCTGTGGAATTTTACAATAAAATGGTTGCATTTATCGATGTGCATAGGTTCATCATTATTATTTTTTATTTGTAGTATTGGTACAAATTGTGGTAATGCTGTTATGCAAAGACAATTTGGGGCTAGTTTCAACTATTTTACATAAAGTTAGGTAGTTTAGTCCAGTGGCTCCCAACCTCGGGATCAATGATTGGTCATAAGATGATTATTGGGGCAGTAAAGTAAAGGTTTTTTTACTTTTCTCTAATCTTTATTTTTTTGTGAAATATTTTGTGATACATCTGGGCCTAAAACATTTATTTGAATTAAACATGTAAGAGGTGGGGAGGGGAAATGTCTTTTTGGTAGAACTGGAAACAACTTATATACGTCTGAATTTTGACGAGACATCCCAAAATGCTGCTTTATTGTAATGGGCCACAAGCCAGAAATGCTATAAACCACTGGTTTATTCTTTAACAGTGCATTGTATTGTATAACCTTATCTGTGTTTGATTATGTACAGTCTGAATCTGCACAGTAACTATAACTGTCAAATAAGTGCAGTAATAGGTACGATATTTCCATGGAATGGAAACACTACAAGTACCTCAAGTACTCATTTAAGTACAGTTCTTGAGTAAATATAGCCTACTTAGCTACTTTCCACTAGTTTTTGACAACTTGTCAGGAGCTCAGATTGCTTAGCAGCCGTCATCTCCTGCACAATTAGACTAAAAACATCAGGAAAACCTGCTGGTTGTGAAGCACTATATGACTATAGATTTCAACTAATAGAAGAAATGTGGCAGACAGTCTTAAAATTCTGTCAGTTGCAAAGTTCAAGCCATAGACTGAGGCTGATCATATCAACCTGTCAAAAGTCTAGCACTGCAGTGTGAGTGATGAAACAGGAGAGGTTGATGCTAACACAAGATGTCACTCTCGTAGAAATTCAAATATTGAGCATATACAGCGGAAGTTAAAATTTTAGAGCTACCTCATTGTATGAGCATCGCAATGTTGTACAATAAGTACAAAAATGTCTTACTTTCTAAAGGCAAACAGCTGCTGATACACTAAAATAATCTTCCATTTTCAATCAATCTATATTACTTGACATTACTATGAATTCCTGAAAGATTTATGTTAGACCAAACATTGCATGTGGATTAATTGGGCTTTGAATAGACAAATGCCAAATGATACCTGGGTTTACCCTCTACCACAGCCTGAATAGTACATACTGGTACGGATAAATTAGGTAATTTGATCCAGCCAAGCAAAACATAAAAACACGCAGCTGTAGTTAAAGTCGCCGAAAAACAAATGTATCCAATTTCATTGTCATTTCATAAACTGTCACTTTAATTACGAAGTTCAACTGACACGTTGAGACATTTTAATAGCTACATCTTGTCCAGAAAGAATTGATGGAAATCATCCTTATTTCCCCCATGTGGAAGTAAAAACACATTTAATAGCCCTGCCCTTCTCTGCCTCAGTTGGCGAAATCTACACATCAGCACTTGTCACTCATCTTGATGAACTGTCAACCTTGAAACTGCATCTTTTCTGAGGCTGGGAGAACCAGCATGTCTACAGCCACAACATGTTTTGAAGAAGGAGATAGTGGATATTATATTTGTTGGAATGCAAATGTGTATTGCATTATAGTGTAATAATAAGACTCACGTGTACTTTTGTTAACTTCTGAAGCATAATTGCAAACCATGTGTCACTAAGTTATCTGATATACAGATAAGAAAAAAGGTAATTTCTAGTACAACCTGTCTTCAGGGAATAAGCTAAGGACATTATTTTAGGCATGACATAACTTTACCAGAAGCATATTTTTTATTTAATAGGACACATTTTATGCAGAATTAGCACAGCCTGTTCTAGTCTTGTCCAGTGACTCTCTTCCTTCCAGGAAAGTGCACTTGAAACAGAGCAGCAGTTGGCTGATGGACCCCTGTGCTGGCACCTTTCTCTCCACTGGGCAGGGTGGCAGCTGCAAAGGACAGCCAGTGAATCCCTCTGATTATTACACAACCGTCTGCAATGTACCACAGCACCGTGCCGTCATAGCTAGCCCTTTCATCAACTGAGGTACAAGCTTTTCAGCGAGTGCAGAGCTGGGAGTGCAGGGAGTCCTGTATGAATAATGCAGTCTGCACATGGCTCACTTTTTAGGACTTCACCCTCCTCCTTTCATCACAGTGTGCAATGAGACATCCAGAATATGAATATACTGACTTATATCAGTATATTCAATAGTAATATGGTCTACGGATTGTTGATCAGGATCTCAAAATGTTTACTTATAAAAGAGCAATCAGAAAATACTGAGAATGATGACAATATGCTAATAATATACTATGGTAGATGCATAATATGCTCTAGCTGTACAACTTTGATTTTAAAAATGAAAAATGTCGAGCCTTGTACTCACTTTAAAGTGAACTATAGAATCTCATCATCGATCATCCACACTGATTCCTTCACATCCATCAAATGAACAGTAGCCACTATGGTTATGATTTAATGTTTAAAGCCCTGACACTGAAGATATCACCCTGTTACATCAATATACCACAGACTTCATTAGAGATGACATTTAATGACTTCTGAACTGCTCAATCAATGATGCACGTTGTAAAATGTCAGCCATAACATAATATGACCTTTCACATTAATTTAGACTATGCCCCCTGTGTTAGCACTGACGGCTGGTGGGTGTGACCACCAGTATCTATGTATGTGATTCCAGGTATTTTCCAGCTGCATGTGGGAATTTTTCTGCTGTTTGCGCCTGTGTTTGTGACATAAGTGTGTTTGCATGTTTCTGCCTGGTTTTCTGCACCCCTCATTAACAGCTCAAATGTAATCTGCTTGGGCTCAGTAACAGTGTGAGCAGGGTAACAGAGGGATGGTTGCATAACTTCCTTCTTTAGCCAAGACACTCTGTATAAACAGGGATTAATTACCAGGGTTTACTGTCAAGATACACCAATCCACAATCATCGCAGGCAGATGATGAATGGATTATAAATGCTGATATATAAGGACTACTATATATATATATATATATATATATATATATACACACACACACACATACGTAAACATCAAGT